TATAGCCGATTTTATATCATGTTGTTACATTCTTTAGCATCATATGTAAGGAATATACGTTCACAAATAGAATATATATATATATATGTTATCGTCTAGTGGAGGAACCGGTGGGTCGGGGGGACGTGGCGGTTCACTCGGGTTTGAGGAGCTGGTTCCAGTCGGGGTAGATTCTATCCCTCATTCGGTCGCAATATTCACTGAGGTTCGGATACGCTTCTGGAAAGTTAAAGATAAAATTACATTTTTACACACACACACACACACACACACCACACACACACACACACACACACACACACACACACACACACACACACACACACACACACACACACACACACACACACCACACACACACACACACACACACGCACGCACGACGCACATGCAAACGTATTCAGACCGTAGTTAGGTCGATACTCGTATGTTTGGAGACCTTACTGTTACCTCAGCCACGTACGTTACGCTATGTATAAGAGAGAGAGAGAGAGAGAGAGAGAGAGAGAGAGAGAGAGAGAGAGAGAGAGAGAGAGAGAGAGAGAGAGAGAGAGAGAGAGAGAGAGAGAGAAAGAGAAAAAGATAATATATATATATATATATATATATATTATATATATATATATATATATATATAGAGAGAGAGAGAGAGAGAGAGAGAGAGAGAGAGAGAGAGAGAGAGAGAGAGAGAGAATTTGTTCCCAAGTAATAAAATCTTAATGTCTTTTATCATATAACACAGATACCTTTACATTTTATAACTTCTTTTGTTGTCGGAAAATATTTTAAAAGAATTTTGACCCTTCGTCAGATGCTTATAGAGGCATGTGCGAGTTTTAAGTTTGTTCTCTAGAGCAGTGTTGTCCAAAGTGAGGTCCGCAACATAGGTCATAAGGATACGTGAACTAAAACAATGAACACACACACACACAGAAACATATGTTCTATGAATCATCTTTTGTGTATTAAATTCGAATTTATTGACCAACACTCCTGTAATGCAGTCTTTTCATAATTAGTATATTATTTGCATTATTCTAAATAAAGCAGTTTGTTTATCCTATGGTGGACGGGGGGGGGGGGCGGGGAACAAGGTAATAAAGGGTACAATAGGCAAAAACTGGGGTCCGCAAAATAGATCATAGGGGTACGTGAACAAACAAGGAACACACACGCTTCACATCTCATAATAAGTATTTTTTGTTATTAAATCATCTTTTTTATTCGTGTATTAAATTCGAATTTATTGACCAACACTCCTGCAATGCAGTCTTTTCCTAATTAGTATATTATTTGCATTATCCTAATCAAAACATTTTGTTTAGCCAAGGTGGACGGGGGGAGGACGTAACATACAAGAAGGTAATAAAGGGTACAATAGGCGAAAATGTTTGGACAACACTGCTCTAGAGCATACTTAAGAGCTTCCACAAAGATAATGATAAAACACTTATAACGAAATTGATTGCTAAGAAGGGTTCGTTGAGTACTAAGTGTGAGTGCATGTTGAGGTAACAAGAGGATTATACAGAAATTGCCATTATTGTTTACTGAATACAGCAGAGCCGATAGTCTTTGCTTTCAACAAAACATAAGTTTACTATGTTGTGAAAGAATTAACGTGGAGAAAATCCAAGAAAAATAACCATCTACGAAGGATGTAGTTATTTCCTAATTTCCTGTACATGTTTAAATTAGTGAATCGTACGTTTCGTAGGCGCACCTGTGACTATGCTTTCATACGAGGATCCCGGGGCATTCCACTTGAGCTGCGCCAGCTGACCGAAGACGGCGCAGTCGGCGGTCGAGGGGCGCTCGCCGCCGAAGAAGGCCGCCTCGCCTGCAGGATAAGGTGCGATTACTTCACGGGATCGAAATTGACACCACTTTCAGTATATTTACCTTAGATTTTTTACTTTCATTTCCTCTCCCTCATTCTCTCTCCGCTATCTTCCCCCTCTGCTTCTTTATCTATTTCTCTCTCCGTCTGTAATGTTTTGCTATTAAGTCATTAATATAGATATAGATAATTTCAGGTGCACTTATTAAACTTCCAAACTACTCTACAATCAGTAGAAAAAGTTTGTACCTTATTTGTGTATATACATAATCTCAGGTTCTTTATTATTCATTAACATCATATTCTTCAAGAGTAAAAATATATCATACATATTTTTTTTTTTTTCTACTTGATGTCTAGCACATTTATTTTCTTGTCATTATTACTTAATTTTCTTTTTTAATTTGAATTATTTGTTTAAACTTTTTTTTCTTTCTTTTTTTCTTTTTTTTTACCCCGTTTTCATTTACTAATCTCGAAATTTTTACCTTATCAATTCAATTACTTATCGGCTTGTTTGTGTATTCATTCAGTCCTCTATTTACGGAAACCGTCCTCTATTTGCTAGGACTTGAGGTGAAAGGTGGTAAATGAGTAAATATTTAGGGTAGATTCTACAAAGATTTCTTGAGTAGGAAGATAAGAGTGAACTAGAACGGACTTAAAACTGGTATAAGATGAGGTGAGTGACAGAGCTATCCTCTTGGTATAAAGGGTTGTCTTCGCGAGGGAGCAAGACCCAGGAAGGGAAGAGTCAGGCGGAGGCAGGTCGTAGAAGGGGGCGGGGGTTCCTCATACAGTGTGGCACATGAGTGATAGAATGGCTGAAGGGTCATGAGGCTCATGAACTGGAAAAAAGTGGAGGGATGGGGAACTCTTAGGCATCACCGTACCAACCCCATTCAATTAGGGTGTGGCTATACAATCCCGCAAGACTGATGGGGGGACGTAAGGGAATTGAAAGAATTAGGCCTTGATGTAACATGCACGCTAATGAGTTTGGTTAAGCTCTTGTATTCTACCTCTTTCTGTCTCCTCCAACCACTGTGGAGTGCATCAGTAGTTTTCTCGTCTAGCAATCTTGCTGACCTGCGTTCGATCCCACGCGCTGCCAGCGGATGGAAACCCCGGCCATTCCTTGCACACAAGGGGTAATTTAGAAGCAAACAAAAAGAATATCCATCGTAAAAAATGGAATTAAACTAAAACATTTTTTTTTCGTTTCTCCTCTCCCTATAAGTACACAAAAACGTCTCCTCTACCGCCCTCCTCCAATAGAAAAAGAAGATAGAATAAGAACAAGACCAACACGATAATGACAAAAAAAGAGAACAAGAAAAGGAAGGAAATCTCTCTCCCTCCTCTCTCTCACCCAGCACAAGAGACATAGTCCTGCACGCTTTCTTGCACATGTGGAAGATCTCCTCTGGACTGTGCTTGCCGATGCCATGGTGTCTCGCTCTCTCCTTCATCCCCCTTTTCATGAAGAGGGGGAAGGCGCGTCTCAGAAAAGGGGCGAAGGACTGGGATTTGAGAAAGGTCTTGCAGCCGTCCAGCCAATAACGCCACGTGATGACACACCTGGGGGAGGGGAGGGGGGAGGTGATAGCAATGGCAGTGGTTAACAGTTTAGGGGGTGAACCGGGCTGTGATAAAGAGGATGGGGATGTTAATAAGGATCAATTTAAAGTGTGAATCTGCACTGCGGTAATGGCGTCTTCATAGCGGTGACAATATTGATAATCACTTAAAATGGACTGGAATGATTAGTGATGATGATGAAAATTTGTAAGATGATGATAATGATGACAATACTATTCTCCAAACTGCACTGTGATGAGGAGGACTGCTCACCAGAAGAGGTGTTCGTCAGCCAGGACCCTCACGGCCTCGAGCGCGGCCGCCTTCTGGGGGTCGAGGTGGCTGTCGAGGTCGACGTCGAACTCACTGGCGAGCCGTTCGAGGATGAAGTCAGAGTCGCCGAGGTCCTCGCCGTTGAGGGTGATCCATGGGCATTTGCCCTTCGGCCCGAACGGCGATTCCGTATCCACCTGTAGTAGCGATAAACGGATTTAAGATAGATGAATAGATAGATAGATAGATAGAGAGAGAGACTTTGACTTTGACTAGTATTGAGGACAAAAAATACATCTCAAAAGGATGTGGTAACGTAGGTTATCCTCACTATTTATCTTTTATCCCTGTGTGGCCTCACAGTTATACAACAATTAGGTGTATTACCAGATAATAACATAAAATACAAAAATACAAATATTCAGAGTCAATGGTCTATAAAAAGCGAAAGATCGTACGCACACTCGGATGGGCTGTGAGGTATCGTAAGCGACCCGCGGTGTGTTTATTTGCGAAGGACAGGCATTCCGGTCGTCCTCGCATTATCTTAACATAAAGGCGTACGAGGATAGTGTAAACGAACTGTTCTCTGTCGTACCTATTTAGTGAAACCCGCTGTCTCTGAAATCTAAACAAGAATGTTATGAGGCTCCAATATGATTTATCGTGTCCTTATATTTCTCCAGCACATCTTGAATGTTTGCCCACTCGTCTTGCACAAATTCCCATTGATTCAAGAGTTTTTCTTTTTCTTGATCGTTGCACTTCAGCAGGTGGGACCTGAAAGCCGCAGAGGTTGTTCCTCCCACTACATTTACTATTTTTTTCCTTTCCCTTAATAATTATTTCACACTTGAATCTTGCTCCTTTGTAGGAATATGTTTGTTTCATTTCTGTCTTTTATGGGTTTCTTTTATAGCCTCCTCCCCCTCTTTCTGTTTTTCGGTTTCTCCGCTCGTAACTTGGGCGTTTCTTTTCTATAACGTCCATTCTCTGCATCAGTGTCTGCAGCATCCGGGTAATTTCGAATATTTCCTTAGAAAAATCCGCATCACTACTCCGCGGCACTTTCTTCACTTCCTGCAACTGTCTGTCCTGCTCGTGATCAGTACCCACTGGCGACGGCACCACAGCGGTGGGCCGTACACCCAGGCATTGGGGAGTGCAGCTGTCGCCTCGCTCGGCTCCTCTGGTGCCCGGTCCTTTTCCATTTTCTGCAACTCCTTCCTTGGGAACCGCCGAAGCAATCTTTAATTGTGGTTTCGCACTGCATGCAAGAGACCCGGCATCGTGGCGGCCTCCGCAGTTACATTAGCAAGGCGTAACTCTTTCCCCTTTTTCAATTTTGGCCCGGCAGATCCTTGAGTCATGTGTCCCGCCACAGAACCTGCATCGGGCGTCCTGCTGACAAGCCCACGACTTGTGTCCCCATCTGCAGCACTTGAGGCACATGACTGGTGCCTCAAGTGCCACCCTCCTGTACCCTGCTCCTGAGATAAACACTTTCTCTGGCACTTCCCCCTTCACAAGGGCAACGAGCTGACTCCGCAACTCGCCCCTGGACGTGTGCCTCTTTATCCACACAAATCTCTCGTCGTCCAGTAGGAAGTCTGGGTCTAGTATCGTTGGATATTGGAAAATTATCACCTTAGTGAACTTTCCCAAAGCCTTTGGGACAGTCATCACTGTCCCCTTGTATCCCTGAGTCGTCAGTGTCTGCACCGACTGGCTTGCCCACACCGTGAGATACGGCCTCCCTCATCCTTCCTTCATCAGTGGCTCGAAATCAGCGTGGTCCCGGCCAGGTTGCATGGCCCACCTCAATTTCTCCAAGAAACTCGTGGCGCAGTCCTGTGGAAATAGCAGTAGCTTCCTGTTGCTCACACCAGCAACATTCTAGGCTGCTACTTCGTTTCCGTTGTTCTTCCTCTTCTCCAGCTCGCATCCTTTCTCATTACCAGTCATGTCTACGCTTCCATCACTTATCACCCTGGTATGGGATCCACTTCCGATAGCAACGCTAGCCATGCTGATACCTTAGGAAGAGGTGACCCGCTCCCTGTCCGAGGACCAGGTGGGGGCGGGTAAACACAGGATTCGGAAACAGTACTATAAACACGTCCTACTTCTACGAGAAACAGACCACAGCAGAGAGAGAGAGAGAGAGAGAGAGAGAGAGAGAGAAGAAGAAGAAGAAGAAGAAGAAGAAGAAGTTTATGACTGAGCTAGGCAGATAATGTTAATGATAAGAGTTCTATTTGATTCTGTGATACTAAACAATGTGACATAGTTGTATTCGGGAATCAGTCCTCATTATAAAGTGATTCACAAACATAAGCCTGCATTCAAATCCGATTTCAGAGATTAGAGACGGGTTTCACTTGCTCACTTTCACAAGAATTTACCAGCTATAAACCAGAAAATATATGTCAATCTTTTTCCAAATTCTAAAATAAATCTGTCAATTCGTCTTGCAGTCCTTAAACGGCTGTTAAAAGGTGACGTCATGTTTGACGTCACATGGGACAACAGAAAATGATCATATGAAAGCGGGATACCAAAGTATTTTTGTGAGAGTAACCGCGGTGAATATAATCGTGTTTTCATAAGTGTTTTCCCAAATTTGTATGCTTTATGCAGTTTACACAAACACACACAATTGCAATAATAATGATAATAATAGTAATAACAGTGATAATGGTAATGATATTAATAATGATGATAATGATAATGATAATAATAAACAGCAATAATAATATTGATAATAATAATACTGATAATGATGATGAAGATGATAATCATAAAGGCAATATCATTAACAATATTAGCATTAGTAATGTTGAAACAATAATAGTAATGATAATGATAATAATAAGAATGGTAATAATAACGATATAAAAATAATTGCAACAATAATAACGATGATAATATTTATAATAATGAAATGATAGTAATTATAATCATGATGAAAATAATGATAATGGTAATAAAAATTATAGAAAATAATAACAATATCAATAATGATAATAGTAATGATCATAATCATAATGATAACAATGATCACAATAATAATGATGGTGACATTGAAAATGATAATGATGAAAAAAATGATAAAAATGTTAATGAAACCTCATATTACAAAAGTAATAGTTATTACTACAACTAAAATCGTCAATGGCAATAACAATAATACATATAATAGTAATAATAATACTGATAATAATAATGATAATAATAATAATAATAATAATAATAATAATAATAATGATAATAATAATAATAATGCTGATATCAATGATAATATAGTAATAATGATGATGGGGATGATGATGATGATGATGATGATGATGATGATGATGATAGTAACCATAATTAAAATGTCAATAATAATGATGATACTACTACTACTACTACTACTACTACTACTACTACTACTACTACTACTTACTAATAATAATAATAATGATAATAATAATAATAATAATAATTATTATTATTTTTTTTACTATTATAAAATAATTATAATAATAATGATAACAATAATGATGATGATGATACTTATACTAATATATACTAATACTAAGCCAAATAAGAATGGTACTACCACTACTTCTACTACTACTAATATTAGTAACAATAATAATAATGATTGTAATAGTAATATTATTACTGCTAATAATTGTAATAACAATGATAATAATTTGAACATAACAATAATGATGATAATAATAATGTAATAATAATAATGATAATAACGATAAGAAAGACCATGAAAACGACGAATAATGACATTGATAATAATGATGATAATGATGATAATGATAATTATGACAAAACAAATCATGAAATCGATGAGGGTTGATGACGTTAACTATAGAACAGTAACTCTCGCACATTTTATGAGGTTAGCTTATTCTTGGTCGCGCACTGTATAATAAGTTTGGCCGTAGTTCTCTCTTTTCGTCTTCGGATATAATGAAACCTCAAGCGTAAATAACATTATTTTTCACATAGATACATTATAATGTACACACAAAACACAACACACACACACAAACAACACAACACGCACACACAAACACACACATCACATATACACACACATACACGCATATACGCATAAACACACCTCTCGATAATGAGATTCACTAATTCAGAGCAAGAGTTCTTTGACCTCAAACTCGAGGCTTTCTCAGCAGCGATAATGGAGATGCAACATAAAGGCTCAACATTCCTGGAGTACTATCACTCGCATACAGATAAAGAAACACGTTGACTCTTTACAAATAAAAATTTGTACAGCGTTATACACAAAAATAAACATTTACACACACACAACACAAGCATAACACACACACACACACACACGCACGCACACACACACCCACACACCACACCCGCACCCTTACCCACACTCACACACAACACACACATCCACACCACACAACACACACACCACCACTAACACACAACAACCACCTACCCCCCCCCACACACACAACCACCTACCCCCCCCCCACCACCCACAACCCATACCACACCACACACATACAACCACCCACCCACCACACACACACCAACCACCCAACCCACCCACACACACACACACAACCCCCATCCACCCACACACTCACACACCCACCACACATACAACCACCCACCCACACCCACACACCACACAACACCAATCCACCCACTCACAACCCACACACCACACACAACAACCACCCTCCCCCCTCAAACACACACACTCAAAAGCCCTTACCTTGTACTCAATGCCGGCGAGCCTCAGAAAAGTCTCCACCTTCAGCGCAAAGGGCCCGAGGTTGGGGCAGAACTTCCCGCGCTGGAACTGGTGCAGAAGGACCACATTGTGCCCTACGCTGTCCCATTCCTTCCTGCGGGGCCAAGCGAGGTCAGGGCCGGGTCACGCACATGCGGAGGTGGAGGAATATGCGGGCTATTTCATAATACAAACGAGGATTTTTTTTTTATTTAGAGTGCAGGTGGAATCGGTGAAAACATAACGAGAAAAAGGTAAACTGATCTCTAAATATGTATAACATTTTAAATGTATTGACTATTTTTTTTAGTCTTCCACCCACGAAAAGAAAAAAATAAAAATCAATTTTCTTTCACATATAACTTAATATTCTAAATGTTAATCACTTCAAATCATTCAAAAAATCGCTGTACATACATTTTGTATCTATATCTATTTACTTATCTACCTATCTTTTTACTTCTCTCTCTCTCTATCTATCTATCTATCTACCTATCTATCTCTATCTATCTATCTATGGATCTATCTATCTATTCATCTATCTATTTACTCAATATCTATCTACCTACCTACCTATCTCTACCTCTGTCTGTCTGTCTATCTATTTATCTATCTATTTAATCTATATCTATCTACCTACCTATCTATCTATCTAACTCTCTCTCTCTCTCTTCTCTCTCTCTCTCTCTCTCTCTCTCTCTCTCTCTCTCTCTCTCTCTCTCTCTCTCTCTCTCTCTCTCTCTCTCTCTCTATATAATATATATATATATATACTATAATGGTGTGTGTAAATGTATATATATATAAGTATTATATATAATAATTTTCCTAGACTTAATATAAAATTATTAATCATAAATATTGAGAGAGATCAGATCAGAATGACGATCAGCATCATGAGTAGAACATTGGAGATTGTGATGGAAGTAAATAGAAGATAGAAGGGTGTGTGATTATAGACGAAATACTTATGATGTAAAATAAGATAATAATTATTAGTAAAATTAAAATATAAGATTATAAAAAAAATAAACAAAATCAAAAACAAATCATTATTCTAAGACTGCCTACACAACTGTCATAATCTATATCTAATCACACTATAACCTATATCTCATCTGACATAACAATAACGCACACCCCTCAACAACGATTCATTTATCTATCTCTTATCTGATATGTCAATCTATCATTATCTATTATATATCTTTATATATCTATCTGTATAGTCTGTAGTATGTATGTGCCTGCTATATGTATGATGTTGATGTCTGA